CAAACACACACACACACACACACACACACACACACACACACAGACATAAAGCGAGTACACGAAGTTAATGCACTTTAAGGTCTCCCCACATGATCACGCCAACCTGCGTTTTCTATGCGGCTTGTCTTTACAATATATTTACACTTTACAATATAATATAATGACCTGACATTAAGAGTGACATTGCCCCTCCAGCTCATATCGGAATTGCTTTCTTTTTTCTTTAAAACATTTTTTTGTGTTTTTTTTTTGGTAAGTGTTTTACGGCGCTCGCAACTGCTCGAGGTCATGTGAGTGTGCGGGTCACATTAACTTTAAGCATTTACAGTTGGCAAGAAATTTTGAATTTTGCTCGGGTGGCTGTCGAAGCCTACTTTTATAATCGATTTTAGACCACCAAGGGAACTTGAACATGCACAACTTGCACAAGGGACCTCCGAGATTTTTCGCACTATCCCAAGAAGGCTAGGTGTAGATCTTACCTACCAGAAGATCATGGGGTGTGGCTGAAAGACAGCAGTAGGAGCCAAGGAGAAGCAGTAGAAGGGCTGCAGAAAGAGTCAAGAGCCCAGAGAAGGGGACAAATGAGGTGGGGGAGGAAAGTGGAGACGAAAGCAGACAACAGAACATTATTAGGGGGCAGGAAAGGATGTGAAAGGAGAATTTTTTAGAGAAGAAAATTCTCCGTCGCTATCCGGATTTGAACCCGGGACCTATCTGTCCCTGCAGTTTTAGGCAAAATAATTCTGAAATTATGCAAACTTAGCCCAAAACTGTGAAATTATGCGATTCTTTTAATTTTAAGAAAGAATGATAAAGAAAAATAATCAGAAATTATGCCAAAAAATGATTAAATTTTGCTAAATTATGCGGGGCGCATAAAAACCCGGGGACAGACCTATAGAACTTCAGGCGAACATCAAAGGATGTGAAAGGATACATTTTTAGAGAAGAAAATTCTCCGTCGCTACCCGGATTTGAACCCGGGACCTATAGAACGTCAGGCGAACATCTTTACCTCTAGACTACGAGACCCCGGCCCCTCCTACGTATTCTATGCGGCTTGTCTTTACATGGGTTTAATGACCTGACATGGAACATATAGGATAATAAAAATAGATATAAGCTTTTATAATTATATAATTATATATTATATATATATGAGAGAGAGAGAGAGAGAGAGAGAGAGGGAGAGAGAGAGAGACATTGCCCCTCCAACTCATATCAGAATTCTTTACATTTTGATTTCAGACATAAACAACTAAAAAAACCCACACAAAACTCCTAAAATTTTAATAGGAAAAACAACTCAAGCGGACGTCTCATTATGCGTGGAGACGTATATGGCAAGTCTTTTTTGCAGGCTTATCCAGCGCACAGTGCACTTTTCATACATTAATACGGTCTGCCCATTGGTGATGGGATCGGGTCGGCCGAGGCTACCTGTATCCTCGGGGTCGGCCCACGCGTCGCCCGAAACTGAAAAAACACACGCGTTTGTTTTTAAGTCGACCTGTCGGGCGCGATCGCCACGAAAGTCGTTTAA